GGTGTAGGTAGACGATTAATTAAGTAACAAGCTATTTGAAAAGCATGGGACCAAAATTGAACAGGAAGAGAAGCTGTTTGTAGTAAAGTGAGACCAGTCTCAACTAAGTGCCTATGTTTCCTTTCAGAAATGCCATTATGTTGTGGCGTATGAGGAGTAAGTAAATGTTGTATACCATGGGCGGCAAGAAAAGATTTGAGAGCTAGAAACTCACAACCTCCATCTGTGTAGAGACGAACAATAGATTTTTGAAATTGTTTTTCAACTTGAGCTTTAAATGTTTGAAAGAGAGACGAAACATCAGATTTGTGTTTAATTGGAAATAATTGGAAACAACCATGTAATAACGAGTTATAATGGTCTAACAAAAATACATAAAACGAAAGACCATCAATTTGAATTATAGGGGCAGGACCCCAGACATCAGAATACACAATACACAAGATCTAAAGGTGATTTGGACGATAACGACGATTCCCCAAAAGGTAATCGATGACTTTTATTACAAGAGTAAGACTTACAAAATGAATTACTAGAAGAGATAATAAAGGAATTATTTTTTGACAAATGAGAACTTTGGTAGACGGGTGACCAAGACGATGATGCCAGTTGACCACAACACTAGCAGCAGCTGTAGGTGTGGTGAACGGTGAACGAGCCGCCATTGGCCACTCATACACGCCATCTTTATTCTTCCCTTAAATGAGAGGCACCCCCGTGTTGAGATCCTTCACCTTAAAAAGAAAAGGAAAAAAATTCAATGGAAACATTGTTGGAAATACAAAATTGGGCAACAAAGATTATATTTTTTTTCATGGTAGGAACATATAAAACATCAGACAATTTGAAGGAGAGAGAAGAGTGATTAAGATTTGTTTGTCCTGTGTGTGTTATATTCAAACCTGAGCCATCACCAATAAGTATTTCGTCAAGGCCTGTGTATTCGGAATGAACAGACAAGTTACCAAGATCACTTGTGACATGATGGGAAGCTGCAGAACCAAGAAGCCAGGGGGAGGAGCTGGGATTCGAGGTCATTGTGGCATTAGCAGTTGGATTTGGAGTTGATCGTTTTTTAATCTTGAAGCAATCTTTGGCCGAACGACCAAACCGATCACAGTACTGACATTGAATTTGAAATTCTCCATTGTTGTGTGGTTGAGAAGAATGAGAGGATTGTCCTCTAGATTGATTGAAATTGTTGCCATTATTTTGAAAAGAATTTCGAGGCTGGTAGTTGCGTCTTGTAGCATTGGCTTGAATGGAAATTTCAGGGGAATTATCTTTTTTAAGAACATTTTCAAAGTCCAGGAGTTTTTCATGTAGTTCTTCAAAAACAATGGGTGTTTCCCGTGCTCGAATGGCAGTGGTTAGTTCTCGAAATTCGAATCCAACACCATTTAGAATGAGAATGGTGAGATCATCATCAGATAAAGGCTTATCAATAAGAGCAAGCTCATCAGCAGTGGATTTAAGAGATTGAAGGTAATCAAAAACAGATTTGGTGCCATGAGGCTGTGAGAGTCTTTCTTTGAGATGCATGACTCGAGAACGGGACTTATTCGCAAAGCGTAAGGCTAGCTTATTCCAAGCCTCAGCTGATGTTTTTGACGAAGAAATAAGAGTAACCAGTGATTCAGAAACAGAAGCTAAAATAGCATGAAGAAGAAGATTATCTTGACGAAACCAAAGAGCATAAGCCCAAAGAGCATAAGCAGGATTGACGGAAACAGTTTCGCCATTGGTGAGGGTGGAGGGTGGACATGGCAACGCGCCATCAATGTAGCCAGTGAGGTCAAGACCAATTAAAAGGGCGTAAAACTGAGCCCGCCATGAGGGATAGTTAAGGGTGGTTAATTTAAGCGGAAGCTGAGTGGCAGCATTGATGGCAATCAGAGTATTTTGGGAATTAACGGGAATTGTTGTAGAAGCAACTTGAGGAGTTGTAGCTATTGTAGGATCTAAAGAAAAAAAGTCGTTTGAGTATTTTGGGCTCTGATACCATGAAAGGATCAGATTGCTTGTGTAAATGTTTGTTGTAAAAGGATCAGATTGCTTGTGTAAATGTTTTTGTTGTATTATTCAAGGAAGCAAGATACATATTTATAGAGTTTACAGATTACATTTGAAATATAGAAAATCTCCAAATCATATCTAAACTATTTACAGTTAAACAAAATCAAATATCAGAAACTAACTAGTTTGACTTGGTACAAGAGAGTTATCCTCAATATGCACAACTTCCAAAAAATCAAATTTCACAATAATCTTTCTGAAACCATGGTCCCAAGCAAGAACCAAACTTATTGCTCAACTAAATTTCACCTTACATTTTCGAAATAATTGTTGTATTATTAATGAGTACAACACTTTGAAGATGATTGATCAACTGAAATTCAAGAGGGATTATATATATATATATTGCTCACTCCTACTTCACCAACCAAAACAAGGTGGCTTTCATATTCAATATCAGTTCTTCTCTAACTACATCTTTTCCTTCTTCTCAAATATGGAATTATAAACTTCGACACCATTTAAGGTCCAGACTTGCTCTTACATAATAATTTTTCATTTGTGTTGTGTAATAATGTTGATCATTCTTATGATATATGTCAATTTGCAACACAAAAGAAATTATACACATGAAGACAACATAAGAACCCCAAGTATTTATATGTATAAGCCTTTCAAGGGATAAGATAGGCTTAGAGCATCTTCGAAGTAATCGTTCATTGCATTAATTTATTTGTCACGTATGAAAAATTGAAAGTTAAAAACAAAACATTCTCCAACGCTATTATCTATTTAGTCTGTGAGTCTGATATATTAAAAAGAAAAAGAGACATTGTCTATCACACTCTTTATTTTCAGAGGATCTGTTAGACGGTGTGATTCAGCTTTTTATTTTTTTTTCCTATTTATTCATTTTTTTCTTATTTTTTTATTTTCCTTTATGCATTTTCTTTTATTTGCGCTGAAATTGATTTCTTTTTCTTGCAGTGGAGAACCATTTTTAAAATCTAACATCTATAAATGTACATTCAGCTACATCACTATCCACCATCACTTTTATTTATTTAAACACATCAGCCATAATTCATGGTTGCATTGGAGATGCTCTTATTTTCTATTCTCTAGAAAATTTTTTTAGGGTAATCAATAATTTTTTGCCTTCAACCTTTTGGTAATTCTCCTCATTACAGTTTGAAATGAAATATAAGCCATTATAGCTGAAATCTTCTTTTTTTTTTTTTTTTTTTTTTTTTTTTTTTTTTTTTTTGGTCAGTAATCAAAATTTATTTAGAATAAGCAGAAAAAACCATATAGCTGAAATTCTTGGAAAAAGAAACTTTACACTTTCAACTAAGATTGTACATGGACTTGTTTTTTTAGGTTGTGAATCGAAAAAAATCTCCAATGACTGTGTTTTTTTTTTTTTTTTTTTTTTTTGGTCAGTAATCAAAATTTTATTAGAATAAGCAGAAAAAACCATTATAGCTGAAATTCTTGGAAAAGAAGCTTTACTTTCAACTAAGATTGTACATGGACTTGTTTAGGTTGTGAATCGAAAAATCTCCAAGACTGTGTTAAAAATTCAATTTTAAGGAAATTAAAGGATTGGAATTGTATTGAAATTTTAAAGAATTGAAACTTAATTATCTTGAAATTTTAGTTCAATTAAATTTGTGGATTCAATACTAATTATTATTTACAGCACATGAGAAATTGTCATTCAAAGATGGCTAAAGTTATATATTATTATGGCAACAAAATAAATATTAACCTATACATCAAATCAATAAGTAATTGCCATAATTTATTACTGTCTTGTTTTTTATTATTATTATTATTAAAAATACACTATAACACCATGGTTTGCACCAAAATAATTTTATTGAATTAACTTTATATATGGGTGAATCGATACATCAGGTATAAATTAATTAGATTATAACTAAGAATTGCAATTTCACAATTTAAAATCAATTTTAAGCAGAAACTCAAAACTCAGTAATCCAGAATAAGGACATTTAATTTGGGTTTTGTTTTTTGTTCCCAATTAGGTTATCTCCTAGCGCAGCTGTCACATGAAAGGCCAAAAGAAAATAATGGACAGAACACTTTTGTAGTAGCATCATAAACAAAAGACAATCACATGGGTATGTGCTGGCATTACATGGTTTTGGGGCTGAACTGTAAACCATACGCAAAACCCATATTTCTGAGTTGTTGGAATTCAATTCATACAATTCCACTTCACACACATTCTCACAGTGACCTCCAAATTCTCAATTATATATAATAATAATTAAAGATTATCATAACCTATGAGCTCAAACCACATGGGTCCTACCCACGACATGATGAGCCCTAAGTCAAGCCCCCCACATGCAACTTCCAATATATGAGATGTCAGAAGAAGAGAAAAAAAAAATGAAAAAGAAAACATTCTACGGTTCCTAAATCATATGTTTTAGCTACTGATCCTTTAAATTTTTGTATTTTCATATTTTGGAATTTTTTGCAGTAAATTTTTTTTTTTCCATAACTATTTTTCATACTCTTATAATACTAATTTTGTTTTAAGATTTATAGCTGCCCCTTTTCCATAAGTATTTTTTTTTCATAGACCAAACAACTGACTTTTTATAAATCATCTTGATTGAAGTCAGAGCATAAAAAAAATTTTGTTACTAACATATTAAGATTTATTTTTAAAAATCTGCTTTATCTTTTAGTTAAGGAAATTATTGTACTAAAGATAACTCATTTATGTACTCCTTTTCAAATTTAAAAGTTCTTTAATAAGTTATAAGTTACCTTCAATTGTTATTTTTGCCAAAAAGAAAATCTATCAGTCTGAAAAAAAAAATATACATAAATTTCCAAGGACTGAATAAAGAAAAATGAAAATCAGAGGGCTCAAAAGACAAAACACGACAAATATGAGCATCCGGATATATATATTCATGACATAAATATGAGTAAAGAAAAAACCAATCACACAAAAAATCCCATGTCATGTGTGTCTGTTGTGGGTTTTTCCAATTATAGATATCTGAGAGAAAGTGTCGTGTAAAAACAGCAATGGAGTCTTTTGATGATGACCCTTTTGAGTCCTCATCAAGTAAAGATCATCAAAAAGTGGAAAATGTTCATAATCTTTTAGAAGATGGTTGGTTCTTTGGTGAACTACTTAGCAGAAAACCAAAAGCAATGCCAAGATGCTATTCTGATCCTTCTCCAAATTTTAGTCAAGAAATTATATCAGAAAGTTATTATTTACTCAATCCTTCAAAAAAGAAACCTGCAGCTAAAAATTTGATCAGAGCACCTTCTTTGCCACCTTGTATTGGGAGAAGATCAGAAGAGAGAGAAATCAAGAAACTCAGCAGGCAATTATCAGATCAAGATTTGGTTCAAGAAGCTGGTGATAGTTGTAAAGGGAAGATAGAAGAGAAAGAGAGACCATTAAAACAAAGGTTATTAATTAGAACACCATCTCTACCACATTGTATAGGGAGAGAAGAAGAGATTGAAGAACATGAATCTGATATTACAATGAGCAAATTGATTCGCCAAGCAATGCCTCATACTTCAAAGGTAATTATAATGTTTCTTTTATGTTGTGTTTTTCTAGGACTGGAATCTCAGATTAGTTCTTAAATTGCTGATAAAGAATATAGATAGCAGCAGTATAGTTATATTTGTTTTAATGCTATGTTTTCGTGATTTATTTGTGTATCCTAAATTCACAAGGATGGTTACTGTTAAACTTCAGTTTCTGTTAAAATGAAATCATTTAATCGCTTCATGTACAACATATATGAGTATTAGAATGATTAGAAATTGCCCAAAATTTATTGCACATGAAATTTTTCTTCTTCAACAAAATAAACATAAACACTTTCTATATGCAGGGCTTGACACAAACTTCCAGCATGTCAAAGTACAGACCACCAAGAAGCTGGAAGGTGGAAACAGTTGACACAGTGAAGGAAACAAAGAACTCAAGTCGGAGGAATTTGAAGAAAAGCCTAAGCAATCTTGAATCCCAAATTGAAGGGTTCAAGGACTTAGAATTCCCATTTAACAAGCAAGATTTGAACCCAAGTAAAGCCGGCATTATCCCTGTTTCTGAGAACAAGAAAAAACAAAACCAAGATCTAGACCAAGATAAGGTTAGGAGGAGGCCTTGTCTTTCCGAGACGTGGCATGTGCAAAGTTGTGCATCTCCAATTCCCATTTGGGCTGCCAAAAGTTCAACTCAAGACATGAAAGCACAGCTCAAATGTTGGGCTAGAGCTGTGGCATCTAATGTCCGCTAAATCCTAAATTCTAAATCTTAAACTCATCAAATAGGTTAAGAATGTTCTTTATTTGCTAATCAATTTTTTTTATCATTTTGTAATTCCTAACATTCTTTGGACTTTTGATGAGTGTTTATATTGGTCCGAGTGAGAACAACGTTATATACCATATTGGAATGAAGAAACAACAATTCCTGTTGATCTTGAAGTCTCTCTTATTCGACACTTGAAAGATCCCATAATAGTGATAATGTTAAAGATTAATTATAAGTAACAATAGGGATATTCTTCTTTTTTTTAGTTGATAATTCTCAATAGTTTTACTTTTTTTTCCATAAATTGTTAACATTGCTGTCTAAACCCTAAATAAAAGGTATCTGAGTTCGAGTGCTCACAGTTGTTTTTATCGATTTGGTGAGCCAAAAGGAAGGTTACCCGTATATCCCGCAATATTATTTCAGCCCAGTAAAAACTTTCAGAAAATTAAAAAAATAAAAAAAAGCAAGTTCAACACTGACTCTAGAGCTCTAGCTCCTTACACATTTGAGAAAGCTAATTAAACCATATATGATTCGCAAAATTTTTTAATATATTGAATTTTCTGTTAATTGAATAATAAATTCAAAATTGATGGTAATTCCCCAGAGCACAATTTTATTTTCATGGAAGGAAAAGAGAAAATAGCTAGAGAAAATGGAGAAGATATTTGTTAATGTCCAGCCAATAAAAAGAAAAAAAAATCCAAGAGATACAAAAGATAAGCAAAGAAAATACTTCTATAGAACTCCAAATTCAAAGGAACAAGATAAGAAAAAAATACCAATGTTGCATTGCCACCACCATACTCTCTCTCCTCAAATCTTCCCTTTCTATCACCACAACCGCCACCGCCACTCTTCGCTTTCCATTACCTCTTTCTATAAACCCACCTCTCTTTTCTCCCTCTCAGCTCTTCCCCGTCCCGGACTCGTAGACTTATGGCTTTCCCAGCTCGCCGATGCTGCTGCCACCACCACCACAACCACCATACCCATAACTCCAGCGGAAGAGGGCGGCCCAATAGAGCTCCCGTTCCCCTCTTCTCCTTCCATTTTTGCTACCACAGATGACCCTTCTCCTCTGCAGGTAGCAACAAGCGTACTTCTAACTGGGGCCATTGCTATCTTTCTCTTTCGCTCTGTTCGCCGCCGGGCTAAGCGTGCCAAAGAACTGGTATTTGAATTTTTTTTCCATGTTGTTGCAGCAATTTTCTGTTTAGTAATTGTTTTGTTGCTATAAAAATGCTCTATAATTGGTTTCCATTTGGTATACTCTGGAGCTGCTTTAGTACTCATGACAAGCTTCAAATCCCATATGAGAAATTGGGTCAAAATGTCTTTTTGTATCTTCATATTACAATTTAGCTCCTTCAGTAATTTTGAGGAAGTGGATTTTTGGCTTTTAGAAATTTAGATCATCGGGAGTAAAGAAATCAATAAAAGAGGAAGCATTAGATAGTTTGAAAGCGATGGGATCAGTTTCAATTGATGCTGGAAAGCCTCCTTCACCAGTTCAGACATTGTTAGGGGGAATATCAGCAGGTGTGATTGCACTTATACTCTATAAGTTCACCACTACTATTGAGGCAGCTCTTAACCGCCAAACGATATCGGATAGTTACTCGGTTCGTACCATTATTTCTCTATCTTTATTGGATTTTCTTGCACTATTCATTGTCATGCTGCAGAAACTAAATAATTCCAATCTATTACAGTTTTATCTGAGTTTCGTATAGCATACCCTTACATTTAGATTCTCACTCCATACTGGAAAGAATCCTGTTGAGCATTGAGGTTTTTTTTCCAGAAAATGACCATTCTAAAATGTTGGAATTGTAGTTTAGCTATTTTAGAACTTATATGACTAGAAAATCTGAAATTTACATTTAAAAATAAATTTCAATGGCCTTTAATCAATATTTTTTTTCAACATGGTGTTATCCTGAACATTAGCTCAATATGCAATGCTATACAGATTTAGAATATCCTTGCCTGTTAAAAATAAGTTGGTTGAAGATTGTTGCCAGTAACGTGAAACTGTCATCAAAAAATTCTAACTCACTTTTTCATTTTTTTGCTTTTCAGGTTCGTCAAATAACAATTACGATTAGGTAGCTCTCGTTACTACTATCTTCTGTTATTTATGATTCACTTCTGTAAAGAAGTTGTGACATCTCCTTGTTTGCAGGACAATTATAAATGGGTTGTGCTACCTAGCAACATTTGTTTTTGGCCTCAATTCTGTGGGTTTGTTCCTTTACTCTGGACAGCTTGCTATTAACTCTTTCATGGAAGATTCTAGCAGCGAAAGTGAAAGTAAAGGCAATGAGCAATCAAGTCCACCAAATTCAACATCAGAGAGTGCTGCAGCTAGTGCTGACTTGAAAAGCAATCAGGCAGATCAAAACACGGATAATTCACAGCAGTGAAGGAGAGAATCAAGAGTAGGTTTCTACCCTCCCAACCCATTTGTATTTATAGGCCGGGGTGATCTTGCAATTATAATCAATTGTAGTCAAGTGTTTGCATGCTCATGATACTCTCATTTGTCCCCATGCACAACTCTCAATGCAATTATTAGCTTTTGATTATAGAAGATGTACTGGGGAAAACTGTGTACCATATCGGTCGTTGTTGTCTTGTATAGAATGCTTGTCGTACAAATCTGCAAAACCTGATGATGTTTTCAATGGAAATCTGGCAAAATTGATAATTTTTCTTGCTCTCTGCAATTAATTTTTCTCCTTGCTTCTATTCATAATGAAAATGTTCACTTAACTTCATTGATACTAACATTCTTGTGTTGTTTGTTCACTGGAAATTTGTTTTCTTTATCATGGGGCTTTCTTTGTTTGCATTGCATGTTTTGATGCAGTTATTCTCACCTGCCTTCCTGAACAGGTTATAACTCTACTGATTCAACTGGATGCAGAGGGGCTTGAATTTGTGTCTAAAAGCAGCGTTCCAAATCGCGAGTAAAACCAATGAAGCTACAAGAATAGATATTGGACAAAAATTCTACATCAGCAAATTGGTTTCAAAAGTAGATTGTTCTTAACCCTAGCTACCAACTGCTGCACATAACTCACAGGTATGTTGTTACTAGGGATCTTTCACATCAAAGAAAGAAAATGTATCAGCAGGCTAATACATGTGATAGATGATTGATGAAATGCTTCTTATATTCCAACTTCTAACAGAGAGCTTTGAGCTAAAGATATTGATGCCAAGAAATTCAATGTTGTTATGTTGATGTTGGTGATTGATTATTGTTAAATGCAGACCTCTATCCTTTTTTCTCAACCTGCAAATGGTGGGGTAATTGGGATTTAGCAAAACAAAAAATGTTGCCGGCTGCATTGCCCTCAACCAAATCCCTTTGTAGGGTTGGCTCCTCGCAGTTGTCCCTAACACCGACGATAGCATTTGTTGCTTAGCATACAATGTTCATACAATGTTATTTCGATAAGTGAAAGAAGAACCCTTGCGATATAGTAAATTGAATTGTCTTTAGATTTAGTTTCAATCGTGTAAAATTCTATAGCACCTATTAAGAAGTGCTACAAAACGGGCAGCAAAGTCTAAAATATATTAATAATATGTATATAAACATCTATGATGCAATGTGGTCTTGAACAATATAGGATATATAGAAGTTTTCAAACTAAAACTATATGAAATATTCAACTGAAAATGCACCGTAAGATGTTAGTATCAACTACTGCACCGTAAGTCGAAAATGCAGTTTGAGCTAGAGTTGGCCATCTGATCGGATGAAAGTGTTGGAAGACGCAACCTGGAGAAGAAGAGAAAGAAAAGGAAAAGAAATGAGAGGGGTTCACCCACCTCAAGTAAAAACGGTGCGTTTTCTTAGTGGAGGTTTGGGGTTGGGTTAATTTAACCCTTGTGTAAGTGTGCGGATCCATATTTATATTGTTTGTTAATTTTATTTGTAGTATATGTTGAAAATTTTAGTTTAGAAAAATGAAAATGTACAAGATTCTTGTTAAGTGGATTGGATCCACCACCTGCAAAAAATATAATAAGGCCAATGAGAAGGTGCATAATTTCAGGGCTGTAATCTGTAGAGCACCATTATAGACTCCTTTGAAGATTGAAGCAGAGGTACAGTACTTTTTTTCTTTCTTTTCTTTCATCTCTCTCTCTCTTTTCTGAAAGGCTTTCCTTTCTTTCTTTTTGGTTTTTACATAAATCACTTGTTTTCATGTCCTTAACCTCTAAAAGAAAACAACAGAGTACGCCACAATGAGAAACAAAGAAAATTTTGGCCTGAAAAGGCTGAAATCTCTCTGCTAAAGATAATCCCACTATTTTTTTTTTTTTTTCCTACTTGCATTGGAACTTGATCATACACCCAGAAAACTAGTGGTTTTGAGACTCAGCACTAGGAAAATAGGCCACCATGAGCATCCAAACATTTTGCTTCATTTAGATTTTTTTTTTAATTTTTTAATTTGAAAATAAATAACTTAGCTATAAGATGTTTCCTTATAAGAATTTTCTTTTGAAAGGAGAAAATGGTTTTTTTTTTATATATATATTAATTTATGTAAATATCAAAAACTAAATACAAATAATTTTCTCTGAATTGTAAAGCACATTGAAAATATTAATTCTTAAGGTATGATATTGTTAAATATTTGAATTCTTCAATAATTAATTTTTTTCCTATTTATTACTGAATTCAGAAAATGTAGTTGTAAAAATGGAAAAACAATCTTTTTTTTTTTTTGAAAATATTTTCTATTACTCTTCCTATCATCAAATATCATAAAATATTTGAAAGATTTTGACAGAATATGTTATAATAATTCATTGTTAAAGTGAAAAGTAAAAATAAAATAGACAAAAGAAGTAATTATTTGATGCTAATTATCCCAAATTAGACACCACTAACATTTTGGCTTCAATACTATACATTAAATTGTTCCGATAATGTAATTGGATAAAGTACAAAGCTTGATATAAATAAAAATTCTAATTCTAAGCAATCATTTTACAAAAACATTCTACAAACTTCTACAACATTAGCAACACTCAATTATTACAACTCCAACATCATTTTGTACATTTTCATTTGCAGAGCAAAACATGTAGGGCAAGCCATTGTTTTGGTTTGGGTCATGACTTCGACAATTATAATCTAACTACCCAAAACATTGTTTTGAGTCACATAACTTCACTTAACCACCTTCACTATATCAAAATTTTTGTTTAAGTGTCAATTTCCATTTGTCCCACAATCCCACCAAATGCAAGGGCCCAAAATTGACCATTTAAAAAAAATGGACTATTAAGTGTATTAGTCACTGTCTCTATTGGCTCGGACCATCGGTCCCAATTTAAAACACTTCATAGGGCGTATCGACCCCTCGACACTGATGGTAGATGTTACCCTTTTGTGTAGGATCGTAGTGTTGTGGTCCTTAATCCACAACAATAGAGCTCATTCTAAAGTAATCCACAAGATGGATCGTGGCTCCTAGATAGTAGAGTTAATACTTAGACATCATGCTAAACGAAATGAAAAATCTAACCTGGATGGGCAGGCGAATGATTAAAATTGACAATTTGACATTATCATTGTTAGAGTTTTTTGCATTCCAATAAAAATAAACATTCCACTATTTAATTAAATTATCTATTAATCAAAATTTCTTAATGTAGTTAAAAGTTCAATTATTATTACTATAAATACAATTTTAATTATGCTAGATGCTAAAGATAAAAGTGACATTATATGAAGAAAAAGTGTCCACTGATCACTAATAAATAAACCCATGATAAAAGAAAACAGAAAATTGGAAAAACATTTACAAGGATGCCACGGAAATAAAAGCACTATAAAAATAATAATTTTATATTAAAAAAAAAAAAAAAAAAAAAATTAAATTTATCTATTAATCAAAATTTTCTTAAAATGTAGTTTTAAAGTTCAATTATTATTACTTATAAATCAATTTTTATTATGCTAGATGCTAAAGATAAAAGTGACATTATATGAAGAAAAAGTGTCCCACCTGATCAACTAATAAATAAACCCATGATAAAAGAAAACAGAAAATTGGAAAAAACATTTTTACAAGGAAATGCACGCGACATAAAGCACTAATAAAAATAATAATTTTATTATTAAAAAAAAAAAAAAAAAAAAAAAAAAAGAAAAGAAAAGAAAGAAAGAGAGAAAACTGCAAAACTACGGTTTTACCATTACAACTTACCACACTTTTTTTTATCTTACCAAAGATTCCTTCTAAATCTAATCAAACTTACTAGACTTTTAACACCCAACCCCAGCCGCGCTGATCCCAAGCGTCGCCGGACGATGTGGCTCGAGCTTCCGATTCTTCCAAAAGCAAGCGTCTGGTGCAAGCTTAGACGCCGATCTCATCGGCTCCGACTTGCAGCGTGTAAGTACAAATGGCTCATAACCCTTGGTCCCTACCAGCTTCTTCTCTATTGCCGTAGACATAGACTCAGCTCCAGCCGCACGAGGTGGCGGCTTAGCTGGATATGAACAAGAAGACCTGGGTGGCTGCTGCAACTTACTACCGTGCATTGACGGAGGATTAATGTCAATGCTGACTCGTCTTTTGGGCTCATCTCCACCGTCTTTTTTCTTGACTGGCCTGGAATGCTCTGGTAGCCATCTGATGAAGTCCGTACTGCATACCCAAGTCTCCTTGGATACCTCCATTGACAGCTTGGGCTCACACATCATTAACAGCAAACAATCTGGTAACATTGGCTGACTTTCTCTCTCCTTTGACTTGATATCCATTTGACCCTCTTGGGTTTTCGGGTCTTCTGATTCGGATCTTTCATGGGTCACAGTCTCTTCTGTGAGTTCTGTCTCTTCTTCCTCCTCCTCCTCCTCTTCTTGCTTTGATTCTTGAATTATTAATTCTTCTGGTTTTGATTCTTGATCTTCTATGTCATGACCAACTACTTCTTCTTCTGGTTGTACGGACATATGAAGTGAACTCTGAATATCACCATCACTAAAATCTCTTTCTTGTTTATAATCTTCTTGGTCAATAAGACTATCTTCTTGACTTTCTTTACTTTCTTGAATCAACTTCTCTTCATTTTCTTGATTATTGATCGAGTTCTCCAGATCTTCATTTTCTTCCAACATATTTTCTTGTTTTTCAGTTTCCTCTGCGTGTTTCACTAACTTCCTTTCCTCTATTTCTTGTGTATCTTCTCTGCGTGTTTCACTAACATCTTGCTCCTCTAAAACTTCACTTTCTTGAGTTTTATTTTCTTGAATCGTTTCACAAGGAACCAACTTTTCACTCATCAAATCCTCTTCTTTATGCTTCTTTTCTCGTACGTCATTATGCATTTCTTGCTTCTCACTTTTTCCACAATCTTCTTCTCCTTCTTCCTCTTCATCATTTGCCAGAAGAGGTGCTTCCCAAAATTTATTAGCTAAAGCAGCCATTTTGACAGGATCAGATCTACACCTCATCAACAACAAAGCATTCTTTGGTGGAATACAAATACTAACTCTTGCTTCCTCTTCTTGCAAACTTGCATTTTCTTCTTTAAATTCAATCTCTTCAAAAATATGCCGTCTATAGCTCCTTCTCCTCCCCATACTCTCTTCTTCATCCTCTTCTTCTTCCTCCTCTTCTCCAACCACCAACTCTATTTCCCTTCCTTTCCCGTCTTCCTCCTCTTCTCCAACCACCAACTCTATTTCCCTTCCTTTCCCGTCTCCTTCTTGCACAGCCACCAACCACCGGGCAAACACAGCCGCACAAGAACTTCCATTACTGGATCCATCCCCTGCAGCCGCTGCCGTCTTCTCTTCTTTTCCTTTATCATTAGCCATACAAGATGACCGGCAGGGCAAAAAACAATTAAACTCTCTTAAAGCCTCACATATAGTTAATGGCAAATTTACCCATCTCTGGTTTCTGTGAGGCAAACATTCTGGATTGTTCAAATCTCTATTATTGCTATTGGCATCAAAACTATTATTATTAGTACTATTTTGGTCTACCCTTCTGAAACTTACCTCGCCACCTCCACTACTTGCTCTTCTCTGAGATCTGGTTTTGAATTTGTGGCTCTGTTTTTTAGTTTTGACTCTAACTTGACCAATACATGTAACTTTAGGCGAAGAAGGTTCAGGGTTCTCAAAAGTGCAACCGCGTTTCTTACCGGAGGAGGTAGGGAACATAGGGGAAGCTTGGCCGCCTTTCATGCTGCCGTTGGTTCTTAATCTTCTACTAAGAGAATTAGAAAGAGAGATTTGAGATGATTCTCTTGCTCTGCCAGGGCTAAGTATAGACTTAGAAGAGATCTTCATGGAAGAAGAAGAAGAAAGACGAGAAGTGAAGCAAATAAAAAGCTCACTTGTGCTACTATTGCTACTACTACTATTGTTGCTGCTGTTGCTTCTATGGGGTCTATCAGTGTCCATTTCTCTCTTTTTTTTTTACCTAGCTTGTCATTTTTTGGACATGGAAAAATACTGCAAGGTTTGAGATTTGATTGAAAGAGAGGCTTTGATTTTCTTGCGAGTGGTCAAGGAAGAGAAATCATTGAGGTGGGATTGTTTGTTTGTTGTAGTGGTGAGCGAGAGGAGTTTGCAGAGAGAGAAAGAGAGGTGTTTAATGGAGGCGATGGACAGATGGATTGGATAGATATGTGTGTGCTATTTGTCTTTAGCAGAAGATAACCCACTAACATGCTGAGGTCTAGTACTGTTGGTTACTGTGCGCGTGGGTTCTTACTTCTTAGTGTTATTTTTTATAATTGATATTTTTTTTAATTCATAAATTTTCGGACCTGTCGAAACCTCCTAATTCGACTCGAAAAACTTAACGAAAGTCTAATTGTCATCCCACCCCTGCAAAAAATGCGTTTAGTAGGATTCAGAGACTTAATGGTTACAAAATTCAAATAAAATACAAACTATAAATTCCACGCGAGATGAAGTAAAAATAAATATCTAGTTACAAAATTTGTAAAAAATAATAATTTTATATTTTTAATTATAAAAAATGAATAATTTTTAATTTTTACATTAGCAAAATTTATAAATTTTACCCTTATATAAAAAAGTATATTTTTTATCATAGATAAGATTAAAGTATATACAAACTGATTTGCGAGCTTATAAATTAACAAATCACAAATTAGTTTTTCTTAATTTTTATTTGAGTAATGGATTGAATAAATTTCAAAAAATAGTTTAATGAATATTTATTTCGAATGGCTAAATATTAAGGAAAATAAATATCCTTAATATTTAAATTCCATTTTTATGTTTATTTGGATGCTAAATATATTGTCAGGTTATCCTGGTGTTATTTTTCTATTATCCTTAAATATGATATAGAGAAGGATAGAAAAATGTCCTTATTTTCCTTTTATTCTAATATTTCAATTTTTATTTTTATTAATTAAGCGTTGAATGGATATTTTTTTTAAAATAAGTGTATTTAGCCGAAATTTAACAAATGTGATCATGACACGTAAACATCCATTCATTTTATCTCATTTTTTTAAAAAAATTATGGTAATATATCTTTTATTTAGGAAAAAAATATAAAAATCATTGTGATTTTGTTTCTATTTGAAAATAAAATCAATAAAAATAAGAGAGAATGAAATAAAAAAAAGAATCATACAGAGAAAAATCCAAGTAAAGATACATGATTATAAAAATAATCACTTTTAACATTTAATTAATAAAAAACAAGAATTTAGACAAAACAAAACTCAAAAGATAGTTTTATAATTATAGTATTTATTAAATTTTAGAAAACAAAAAAAAATATATATATACTAATCAATTTCATCTCCTATCACTTAGAAATTATATGAATAAATCAAAATCCATTTCCATAATGAATATCATTTCAAATTATTAGTTTTATTTTCCAAAAAGTAAATAGAAGAAAGTGATTGATTAAATGGAAAGAAAATAATTCACGGCAAACATCAACCTCAATGCCTATGCAATAACATGACAATAAGAAGAAAAGCCATGTTCTAAGTTCTTCCATGAACGTGGCCAGTTCACTACTTCAATATCAATAAATACCAAAATACCAAATCCATACCTAAAAAGTCCGGTAACAATTCGGTTAAACCCATCAAAATGAACCGACTTTATTGATTTGATTTTTAAACTATTAAATTCAATTTGATTTTAGAGAAAAACTGAAAAAAGAAAATTCAAATTTTTCAATCACAGTTCCAAAATCAATGAATAGAAAAATGCCAAATCTATAGCTGCAGTTATTACAGTTAAAAATCGATCAAAATGAATTTAGTTAATTGATTTGATTCAATTTGATTTTTAAATTGTTAGGTTTGTTTTTATAAAAATGATTCAATTTGGTTCTTAAAAAATAAAACAAAATCTGAAAAAATAGATCAAATTGAATTAATTAATTTTAATTTGACAGGATTCCTTTTTTAAAAAATTAGCTTATTCGAGTTAATTCGGTTTGATTCAAACCGAACCATTGAACCCCGCTTAGCTAAAACAGAGATGTATAGGGAATATCAATTGCCATCCGTGTGGCCTTCTCTTTCTTTCTTTCTTTTTTATATCTATATTTTTTTTATTTGGCCACTTTTTGGACCTAAAATACAAGCACAAGTAGCCGTTTTCTGCAGCTAATTGACAAAATGGCATTCTTGATATTAAGTTAGAAAAAGATGGGCCTTTTCATAGCCAGATCACATGGGTGGTTGATAGCGCCGAGGTGAAAAAACAGAGAAGAATCCAAGGGGGCACGTGACCACAGTCCGAGAGATAGGGTGATGATGATATGCACAATGAATGATGGATTGTAGTTTCTATCTTGCTTATGGCCCACTCGCGTTATTGGTACGTGCGCTTCAATCTCATTCTGTTTCAGTACACACTGAAAAATTCAAATGTTTGGACTTGGAGCTTTCCCAATTTCTATTTTGTTTTATTTATTTTATTTTATTTTATTTCTATCGTATAATTTTTTCATCTAAATAAAAAAATTATTTTTTTTAATTACGTATTATCTATAGAATTTGATAAATTAATTTATTTACAGAGAACGACTACTTCTACTATGTAGTTACATGTTATCGTAATTTATTAAATTTTTTAGGCATAAAAAAATAGAAAGATTATTTTTATAAATGGTTTGTACCGATGCCATACAATTGTTGAAGTTTGCCACGTAATGTTTAGGACTTAAAGGATATTAAATCACTAGTAATATTCACGCACGCCTTGATGATTAATGCTTATAATTCATTTATAATAAAAAAATTTACATTATTTTTACATATAAAGTTATTTTAAAAATTATTTATTGATTATTTATTATATTTCATATATAGATAATAATTATATCATTTTACTTATTTTTTATAAATTAAAATATTCATAAAATATATAAATAGTTGATACGAAGTAAGTCTGATTATAAGATGAAATAAATAATATATGTCATTAACTCTTTTTTAAAAATATAGTTTTTTATTCTTTGACTATTACAATCAAAATTACCAATCCAACTTTTTTTAAAAGTTTTAAAATGAAAAAAAATACTATATTGTAATAAATTAAAAATAATAAACTCACATTCTTAGTTAGACTAAAAACAATAAACATAAATATCGTAAATGATTAAAAAAATGAGTATTTCCAATATCTCATAGTTTATGTCCTGATTTGATTTGCATATAGATTAAATTAACCATATTAAAAATTGTGATTGAATTAATCAAATATTTGATTAAATAGCATTTTATTCGTTAAATACTCTCCGATTCATTTATATAGACAAAGTTTCCATTTTCGGTGTTCCATTTATATGGATAAAGTTACTTAATTTGGATTATAGTCAAACTGCAAAAACTAAATTACCTTTAATTTGCTTTGTTTAAATTATCAACTTTTTAGAAAAACAAGAAAGTGGCAGATAAAGTTGAAATATTGCATTAAATATGGTTGACTAACCAATTCATAGCTGTATTAATCATCTTTCTCTCTCCGGTTTCAAGTAAAATTGCACACATTTAGGAATTTTGAACACATTTACTTAACAAAGACCGTTGCTTATTCTTTTTTTATCTACAGTTTGAAATAAAAAAAAATGCATGTAATGATAATATATGTGTGGTACTTGACATAAAAACACTCATATTTCAATATTTGAATACATATTTTTATCATTCGGAAGATGATTTGAAGCAACGTTTTACAAAGATAATTAATACACTTTTTAAATAAAAAGACCATATTTTTTGAACTATTAAATGTCATTTATCCTTTAAAGCATATGAAACTACTATCATGTTGCAAATATGTTTGCAATAGAATGTCACACTATTGTTACTACTTCCTTAACTTTTCTGCATTAACTTCAATTACCATTCATTCCACGGCAAATATGTTCGCAATGACATTCATTCCATTTGTAACCAGTGCACCATTTTTTGCAAAATGCTAAACTGTCACGACCCGACTCCGTGGGTCGGACCGGCACTAGGGCCCAGGTAAGCTTAAGGCCCCCGAAGCCCGTAGTAAGCCTGAAACACTAAAAATTTATCTATCGATAAAAATTACTAAATCTCAATATAATTTAAACATTTCAAAACCCATATTTATAGGGAAAATAAAACCTCAAGATTTTATTACATCTCGGCCCAAATTTATCAGCTACAATATTCCACAGTTCGCGCTCCACACTAACCAATACCACGTCAACTTTAGCTATGGGCCTCACGATAATCGTATCATTCGTCTATGTTAATACCACGGGACCTAATTGTACACAAATCTCTTACAACTGCCCTCCCCCGCGAGTCACTCACACCTTGGTTACATAGCTTCTATACATATAATTACCATAGTAAATCAATTATCAGACTAGGAATAATTTATCTATCCCCACTGCACCGAAGGAACATAGTCCTATATTGGATTAAAGAAAAAAAACCTCACTTCCTTTAAAAAATTACAACCAAACACTGTTAGTCTTCTCTAAGGAGTGATACATTATTGCATAACACACACGCAAGTCTCACACAAATGGTAAACATACTTCAATCTTAGTCAATCCGCCACTAGTTATATGTGCTCCACGCAGCCAGTTCACACCAAATGGCAACATTCACTCTATCTATCTTCACAAACATTAAAACATCTCTCATTATAATCACATCACCGCTGGAAATTCAGCAATGGTGAGTCACCGAAACCCCCCGATGAGCCGTCCTCCCACATGCTCATTCCTCTCACATGTGCACCAGGGAGCCGATCCCCATACTGGTCTCGAAGCCGGTCTATCCTCACTTGTGACCAGGCCCTCTCACTTGTTTTTCAAATCTCTCTTTTGTCTTTTCATACCAACACGGAGGCAACTCGGTGGCTCCCATCCAATCCTATCATCAAGAGTCACAACAGAAGGCCACCCTGCGGGCTGCCAATCAAAATCTTAGACCTGTCCCGGTGCGCAAACGAGAGAAGCCAACCCGTGGTTCACGTAACTGGTAAGGTAACGCGTAGGTGCACACCCGGGGCGCCGCATCTCCCATTTACCCGGGCTAAACAGTAATTCATACTTGGATCCCATATAACGCGTAACGTCTCACAAACCATGGTGACCCACTTCATCACAATTCCACACAAAAACAAAGCAA